ATGATTGTCACACTCTTATGACCCGCCATTTCCGGGGTGCCCTGATAGTCGAAGCAGACTTTGTGCTGTTGAAGCTAGAGAGGTGAGCAGAATAAGTCTGATTTCCTGTAAGGACTTCTCTGTTGACATCCACCCCTTTGGCGCTCTTATGCAGTTGCGAGCGCCGTAAAACCTACTAAACTAAACAAAACTAAGAATATCTTGATAACGACTCGGAATGATCTGAGGATTTTGATAGGGCAGATGGAACATTTTGTTTCTGATCTCATGGTCTTAGTAACTCTAAACGGCCAAAAATGTCATAGACATTTTTGTAATTCCAAGGTGTGAAATAGTGGGCTCCTGTGTGAACCGAAATGCGTCAAAGTGTTCCGTCTAGGATATTAAAATACAAATTTTTAGCTACTTCTCTACAAAAGCTTTCTCTGGGTAAATGATTCTATGAGTACATACAATTCTCAACAACAAGTACCCCGTTTCAATGCTGCTATGTCTAATCCTGTATGTGTGTTCCCACAGGCCGTCTCTTGCCACGCCTACCACACGATGCGCAACAACAGCATCCCCCCAGAGAACATCGTCCACATGTCTTACGATGACGTAGCTCACTCCCCCGACAATCCCTTCCCAGGAAATCTTGTCAACACTCCTGAAGGGCCGAACCTTTACCCCGGATGTGAAATTGACTACCGGAAGGAAGAAGTGAAACCGGAAGTCTTCCTCAAAGTTCTCACTGGCGACAAAGAGGGCGTGAAGAAGCTGATTGGTCGAGATGGTAAAGTAATTGACAGCAGTCCTGATGACAATGTGTTCGTCACAATGGTTGGTCATGGAGTTCCAGGGGTCTTCTCCTTCCCGGGTTTTCGTACGCTGCACAACACTGACCTCAACAACGCTCTCAAGCAGATGTACAGAGAGAAAAGGTACAGGGAGATGGTGCTTTACGTGGAATCTAGCTACTCAGGGAGCATGTTCGAGGGTATACTCCCGAAAAACATCAATATATACTCTACCACCTGCTCCAATCCCCACGAGCCGGGATATATTTGCTGCTGGGATAACTACCGTAACGCCTACGCAGGCACATTTTACGGCAACGCATGGATGTACAACACAGACAAGGCAGATGTGCACACGGAAACACTCTCCCAGCAGTATGATGTGGTGACAAAAGCTTGCCATAGGAGTCACCCAATGCAGTTCGGAGACCTGAGCATGAACAAAAAAGTCTTCGCTCAGTTCCAGGCAAAAGCGGAAGGATACAAACCCAGTGTCTATCTCAATACACAGGAAGCAGATAGTATTGTGGGATCAAAGTTCACCTTCGCCGGAATTGATCTCAATAACCCCGCCATTGACATGGTTCAGATCGCCACCACGGCCCGTCGCCTCATCGAGTCACGTGATCTCAGTAGTCAGAAGCGGGAAGAGTTTAAGGCCGAATTACGTCATATGATGCTGGTCAAGGAAAAAGCCGAGTCGTTGACCAAAGACCTGGTCAAGGCAGCCATGCCCAACTCCAGAGGTTTGACGGAGAACGACATACTGACCGGGAAAGAGCGAGTCGAAAACTCTGAGTGTTACAAAGCCGCCCTGAGCCTCTTCTCTGCCCGATGTCCAGGTATCGATATGGGGAGGTACCCATTCGCCAGGAGAAATCTCCAGGCCTTTATCAACCTCTGCAACCACCAGCCCCAAATTGACGTCATGAGCGCCATCTTGGAAGTCACGGAGAAATACGGAATTTGTCAAGCTCTATAAACCCGTCGGACCAAGCTGGCCCCAGTTCCTGACCGTTTCCCTTTCCGCTGATGTTTACTTCTTCATTTTGTGTCTGAATTATTATTGTTTGATTACTGTGTGCAATCGTTTACTTTATCCCAAAAAGAAGGTTTTATCCCACATGTTGTCTTAGTTTACGTTCTTTCGTTCTTTTTCCCGCACCATACTCTAACTGTTGTTGCTATTTATAGGAAAAAAAGGGAGAGGGGGAGAGAGGAGGAGGAGGTAGTTTTAAGGGTATAAGTCCCCTTTAAACACTGGAACGTTAGATATCAACTTCAACTGGTGATACCTTCAAATTTAACATGGCCCAGCCAAATAATCCATCCAAGAATACCCCCACTGGGGATCTGATTCAGGGCCAACTATAGAAAATTTTAACATCAAATCACCCGATTTAGTTGTGCATCTGGAAATGGAAGGTAGGGAGTGGGACGGGCGGTTGGGGTGGTTTGTGTGTGTGGTGGGGGGGGGGTTAATATTTTGAGAAAGAGAATTAAAAAAGGAATG